TTTTTTAAATTTGAAAAATGTCAAACAGTTTTTGAGATATTTACAAAAAACCACACAACTATTTTTTTTCAGGTTAGTGGTCCTAACTTTCGCAATTTTTGCAAGCGACACTTGATTTTTCAGAAAAATAATCTACACTTTATTTAAAATCGAGTGACACCTCGTTCATATTTTTCGAAGGCGGAGAAAAAGTTTGACCTGAAAGGCACTTGTTGACCAGACCAGACATGAATGAATACATGCATTCAGACTCAAAAGTATGCTAGAAGCATCGACCCATAGAGTTTTTTGACGTCAAATTTATTTTTGACTCGCATGGTCAGTTTGAAATGCTTTCCTATCACTTTACCAATTGTCATATACGGATATCATTTCGGTTATGGGGTAATCAAGGACTAGGGTGATTCTTCACGAATGGAAATGTACTCACACCTGCGATCATGAGAAATTAAATTTTGCCATGCAACATGACGTACTGAACACTGAATTTTAGATCCTTCAAAATAGTGGGGTCATAAAAAAAACACCCCTTCCACATTAAATGTTTAATTTTTCCCTCTTAAACTGGCTCGTGTCCCCGAATACGACTAACTGGAAAATGTTAATGAAGAGATGATATACTGAACTCTGAATTTTCAGTCCTCCAAAATACCAGGAACATAGAAAAAAACCACCCCTTCCACATAGATGTTCAATTTTTTCCCTCTTAAACTGGATTGTGTCCCCGAATACGACTAACTGGAAAATGTTGATGAAGATATGATATACTGAACTCTTCAGCCGTCCAATATACCGGGAACATAGGGAAAAACCACCCCTTCCACATAAGATGTTTAATTTTTTCCCTCTTAAACTGGCTCGTGTCCCCGAATACAACTAACTGAAAAATGTTGATAAAGATATGATATAATGAAATCTGAATTCTCAGCCTTCTAAAATACCAGAAACATACAAAAAAAACCATCCCTTCCACATTAGATGTTTAATGTTTTACCTCTTAAACTGGCTTGTGTCTCCAAATACGACTAACTGGAAAATGTTAATGAAGAGATAACGTACTGAACTCTGAATTTTCAGCCATCCAAATTACCGGGAACATAGAAAAAAAACCACCCCTTCCACATTAGATGTTTAATTTTTTCCCACTCAAACCGGCTCGTGTCTCCGAATACGACTAACTGGAAAATGTTGATGGAGATATAACATACTGAACTCTGAATTTTCAGCCGTTCAAAATACCGGAAACATATAAAAAAAACCACCCTTTCCACATTAGATGTTTAATGTTTTACCTCTTAAACTGGCTTGTATCTCCGAATACGACTAACTGGAAAATGTTGATGGAGATATGACATACTGAACACTGAATTTTCAGCCCTCCAAAATACCGGGAACCAACAAAAAAACACCCCTTCCACATTAGATGTTTAATTTTTTCCTTCTCAGACCAATTCATATTTTCTGCACCTTCGAATTTACCACATATTGGGCACAAGTTAGAAACATCAAATGAAAATTGTAAAAGTAAGAGTTGTAAATCGTTACAATATTTCTTTATATCAAAAGGTTCAGAAAGTAGCTGGCTACTAAACATTCTAGAAGTGAGTATATCCAAAGTGTATA